GTTTAATCTCTTTATTCAAAAGAGTTAGACTTAGTTCTTTCTCATTAAATCTGAGAAAAAAGTGAATTAGCTCAGTTTTATTCATATCAAATTGAATTAGATTGATATCTGCTCTAACAAAGATTTTCTTTATTACTTTCTCAATTACTTCTAAATTCTCTTTGATTGTCTTTGAACTGTAGAGTAGATCAATATCATCTACATAACTTGAAGATCTCACTATTTTCATCTCTCTATTCTTGAATAGATATGCAGTGTATATTGCAAATAAAACAGATGAGATTGAAGATTCTTGTGATACTTCTATTTTTATCTCAGTTTTATCTTGTTTTTTTCTATCAAACAATAGTTGTAAAATTCTTTTAGATATGAAACAATTGACTCATTTTATTAGAGAAAGTGACAGTTTTAACATCTTCAAAGTTTGAATCATCTTAGACTTTGAAACATGATTAAATGCATCTTTTATATCAATAAAAACTGCAGTTGAGATCAGGCCTTCATGCTTTGTTACTTAAATATCATGAATAACTGAGAGAACAGTATCAATTGCAGAACATTATTTTCTATCTCTCATTTATTCATTAAATAGAAGAGAATCACTAATAGAGCTTATAAAAGATAATCTAGTAGCTATTATCTTTTCTAGAATTTTTCTCAAACAGTTCAACAGAGATATTACTCTATATAACTTAGAAATTGAAGTCTTTCTATTAGACTTTGTAAGGATTACTCCAGTAGCTTCTCTTCAGTATTCAGAATGATAACTATTTTTTAAGAGATTGAAAAAGAGCTCAAAATATTCATTCTTCAAGTAGGAATATGTGTTTTGAATAATTGAGTGATTAATTGAATCAGGCCCTGCAGCAGTTTTAATTGAACTTGAGAATATTGCTGACTCTAGTTCATCATATGTAAGCTCAGGCCATTCCCAGTTATTTTCATCAATATATTCATGAAATGACATATTCTTCTCTTCTAAATGTGATGAGTTTTGAAAGAGAATTCTCATAAAAGCTTGACATTTTTCCTCAAAAGAGTTTGCTGTATATAATTCATTCTGAAATTCATATTCTAAGGTTGAAAGCTTTGCTACACTTCTTGTTTTAGTATAGTTGAAGCCTTTAAAAACTTCTTTTTCTTATACTTCTTCAAGAAATTTGTTCCAGCAATCTGTTTTAGCTTTTTTAATATCTGAAAAATATTCATTTTGAATAGCTTTGAACTCTTTATCAGATATTAAGTGATTCTTTCAATCTCTCTTAGCAGTGACTAATTACTTTCTTTTAGAAGTGATATTCTTATTTCATCAAGATTTGAAATACTCAGAAGACTTTTTCTTTGAAATATTTTCTTCAATACTTGTTAGAAGAATAGATGTAATCAGCTTTACTCTATTCTCAAGCATTTCATTTGAAATATCTTGACTTTGATTTTAATAGAGCTCACTCTGTCTTTCAGATTTCAGCTGTTTTACTCTTTCTTTAACTGCTTTTCAATCAGCTTTTTCAAAGTTATACTGATTAGAGAGAAGGAGATTTTCACTTCTTTATTTTTTACTCAGTTCAATATCAAATTGAATGATCTCATGATCTGATCCTGAGGTTTTATTTAAATCAATAAACCAGTTTATAAGTCTTTTTTCAATTAAATTTTGTGACATGAAAGTTAGATCTATAATAGATTTCTGTTTCATGCCTTTTCTAAAGAATGTTTGTTGATCAGACTTGTTAACTAAATCTATTGAATGCTCAAAAGTTCATTCAACCAGTTTATCTGCTCTTACTGCTCTTGTGCACTCTGAGTTTTATCAGAGATGATGTGCATTGAAGTCTCCTGCACTTATAGAGTTTTTTAAGAGAGTTATATTCAAAAATCCTCTATCAATTGTCTAGGTATTGTTGTTTTCTTTCAATGATTTTTCATTATAGATATTTATAAGTTGAATAGTATCAAACTCATCATCTTTATCTATAATATCACCTACTAGAATGTCAGAGTCAGATATGATATCAAATCTCAGATTAAATTGATATCTTGATCTTTTTCTCTCATAGATTGCTACTCTTGATTTTATCTCAGATTTTTCAGGAAGAAAGCAGTAATAGCTTGAATGAGAAATAATGTACTTTTACTCAGTATCAAAGTTTGGTTCTTGAAGAAGTACAAAGTCAACTTTTTATTCAAATGCAATCTGAAGATAAGAATAAATGTAATTTGAGTTTCTATTCACATTGTTTTAAATAAATGTGATTTTTGAAGAGTTTTTAAACTTTTTTTGTTGTTTTTGTTGTATATTCATACTAAAAGAGAGTGAAGATATAGCAGAATCTAATCACTATTACCAGATAGTAGATTATAACTATTTTGAAAAGCAGGAATCTCAACTGCTTGCATTCTATCTAGTTTATCATCAGAGTCATTTCTCAATTCTCTAATCTTAACAGGTGTTTGAGAATTCAAATTCTGTTTACATTTAGCTGGAGAATTGAAGTTTGAAGACCTAGATAGTTGAGAGTTTCTTCTTTTTGAGCTTGCAGTTGTGGATTTACTAGCTTGACTTTTCTCTTCAGTTTTAGATTCACTTTGAGCTTCATCTTTTCTCCAGTTCTTCTGAGTTCTTGGAGTAAATACACATTCTTTTGAGCTAGATACATGTTTTTCTTTGCAATTGAAGTACTTAAGCAGAGTATGTTAACATATTTCATCTCTTTTTAAGCATGTTTCACATTTATACTCACTAGTTTTATGATCTCTAGCACAGAATGCGCATTTTGAGTCTCTGAAATAAGAGATTGCAAAGTGTTCATATCTTTGACAGTTTGAACACTGTGTTTGAGCTTTGAGATTCATTCTTGAGTCTTTGTATTCATGAACTCTCATTTTCAAATCTGCTACTCTTACTTCAGAGATTCTTGATTATTCAAGTGTCTTTGTATACACTAGAACAGAGACATTTCTTCTGCTTTGTCTGAACTCAATTAAATTAAGTCATACAGGCTCTTTTCTCAGTTGAATGGAATTGTATTCTTCTAATTCATTTTTGAGAAGCAGCATTCCTTTCTCACAGTTAAAAATTTTAACTGAAATATCATGAAGAATGAATTTGTCTCACTTCTCATCTCTCTCAGATAGAATTGTTGTATTCAGTAGAGATTCTATTACTGATTTTCAGAGATTCTCATTCTGAATGAGGAATTCTGCACTAAATTCAGACATTGTAGTCAAAATAATAGAATTTTCAAAGAAAGATGACTCAATTGAAGCTATGACTGGTTTTTGAACTTCAATATCAGTCATTAACTGAGAAAAGAACTGCTAGTTAATTTCATTTCTAATTCTGAAAATAAGATTTGAGTTTAGCTTGTTTTTTTGCAAGCTCTTCTGATTTGAGACTTTGAGAATAAGTCTTCTATTTCTGAAGATTTGAAAGTTCTTCTCTTTTTGTACTTCTTTTTTTTTCTTTCTATGAACAGAGGTCTGAGTAATATTCTTCTCAGTTTTCTCAGAATTTTAAGCAGATTTTGAACTAGCAGGTTTGGAGACAGCAGATTCTGCTACTTGAGTATATGTTTTCTTCTGATTTGAAGAAGAAGATGAAGAAGTAGAAGATGAAAAAGAGTCAGTGACTGTACTGAAAGATTTCAATGTTTTTTGAATTATATTTGAAATTTCAAGTTTATACTTGCTCACTTCTTGTAGTTATCTAGTCTGAGTATGAAGAATTAACAGAACTTCTTCATTCTTCTCACTCAGACACTGTTTTTCAAGAATTTTGCTTGCTTTTTCCAGTTTCTGTATTTCAAGAACTTGTTGTTTCTCTATTTCTTCCTTCTTTCTTCTCTTTAGAATTTCAATCTCAGAAACAGCATCTGGGAAAACATCTTTTTCCATATCAACTGAGTGTACTCTTGAACTCATTTTACTCACTGAATGAAAAGTTGATCAGACTGTTTCAATTGAGAGATTTATCAGTCTATTGTAATGTAGCGGAACCGAAGCGGTGGCTAGTCGGCGGCGACACGTAGAGGTAGTTGTTTGAGAAGCTGTATAAGTGAGCTTGACTATCTTGCTTGAATAGCGAGCTTGTAGACTACAGAGTTATTATGAGAATATCACAGATATAATACTTAGTATACTAAGAAGATTGTATAAGATATGCAGTAACTCTTGTATATATTTCAGTAGAAGAAAAATGAATCACTGACTTCTTTCATAGAAAGCCAGTATCTAGCTATTCTATATAGACAATGAGCAGATATCTTCTCTCATTTCTTGAGTAAGAATAGCTGAAGTAATATCTCAGTGATATCTCACTGTCAAGAAAAAGTAATCTGCTGATCTTGTATAGAAGTAAGGTTCTTATATTTATCAATCAGATCTTTCTATGATATATCTGAATAATATCATAAAGCAGTTGAAAACCAGTTCAGACAGTCTGTGAGATAGATGAAATCATCTACATGAAAGTAATAAGCTGTGTGAAACCGCAGCAGAGTCTTGACATAATCAGAGATGTGATAATACTCTCTTCTTTAAGAGTATAGTTCTGATACTCTTAAGATTACTGAATTAGAAATTATCTTTGTTGTATAGCAACAGTTGTCAACTGATTTAATAGTATATATACTGTATATAATACAAAGAAATAGATGAGTTTTTCAGCTAACTGTATAGATCTTTCTTTATTCATCTTTATTTAAATTAAATATGTGATAAGTAGGTTTCTTATATATCAATTTAGAATGAGAAAAATGTAGTTAATAAGTGACTTACAGATCTTCTATCATATTCTATTCTATATATGAAATTCTCTGTAAAAGTGATGTGTTTTAGAGACAAAGCTAACAGTAATAACAGGATTTTTTCAAAAAGATTCTCTTTCTCATGAAACATTTTTCTTCTTCTCTTTTCTCAATTATAACAGTGAGTGCATGAGAGTATCATTCTTGAAGAATAATAAAGAGCTTATTCTGACATTTTCTAGTGAGTAAATGTCTTCATAGTGCGGCTGCGGTCTCTGCAACCACAAAGAAAGCCAGGTTGAAGGTGAAGACAGTGTCAATGAGCCGTGGGAGCACTGCTTCCATTGCCACATCTCCTTTCTCTCCTGCATCTCTTGCAGCTGCGGCGGTAGTAGCCGTGCTGTGCAGTGAGGTGTCATCCCTTCTGCTAGCTGATGCATCTGCGTCCAGTCTGTCCTCTGCCCCCCCTGCCGTCATTGCGACGCCGCCCCCCCCTCTCACCAATACAGTGATGTATGACCCTGTGTGATCATTCAGAGAGAAACCTGAGAAGAGCTTGATTCTGAGAACAGTGGCTCTGATAAGCTCAATTCATAGTTTCTCTTCTACACACTCAAGCCCTGCTCAGAATGCTGCTGAGTTGAGTCTGCAGAGTCTCACAGTTCTTTTGTCTTCTCTCTGTGAGAAGGCTCTGATACAGTCTCTGACTAGCATCATCACTTGTCTGCACTGCACTAAGCAGCTGAAGAAGAGAGGAATTTTATACATCTATCTCTTCTCTCACTTTCATTGTTTCTGTTGTATCTGTAACAATAACTTCTATCTCTTTATAAGTATTATCTACTCTATAAGAAGATGTCATGTCAGCTCTGATAAGAAGTTCAGATGCTCAAGTAGTATAGAGTGAGAATCTCAGAGCTCTAAGTATTAACAGATTCTGTCAAGACTGAGAAGATCTCTCTTACTCATCTATAAAAGAAGATGAAAGTATGAATCTCTGAGATAAAAAAATATCTTAGAATGACTGACTCTAAGAAGAGATCAGTCAGTGCTGCTGTTGAAAGTATCACAGAAATCAATTACTGATTGAAGAGAATCTCACTTCAGTTAAAGCAGATAATTGAAATGTTTTATAAGTTAATAAGTTGATACTTTCAGTATCTCTTATACTCTTCTATAATATGCTTCTCTATAGTACTGCAGTGCTAACTTCTCAGCAGATAAAGATATCAGTGTCAGAGACTTCAACAGTGAAGAATAAGTTTAGTGAGAATATAATTATTAATAAGTAGATTCTGAGATTCTCTCTTTTTACTTTTTCAGTGAGCTGCAGTCTTATTAGATTAATAGCAGTCTGTAGATCAATTAATATTAATCTTTTTATTAATTTTAAATATTTCTTTCTTTTCTTATTAACTGCTTCAGAAATTTTATACTTGTATAGTCTTATTAAACTTCTAAAAAATTCTTTGAGAGAAAATAGAAGAAGAGTGTTACAGAGTCTATAAGACATTAACTCATCACTATAAGATTATCTCTAAAAAACTCTTTGAGAAAAATAAGAAGTCTTAAGTAGTATTTCTTACTCAATGTCTCTGATATGTAATGAGATAATCTCTACTAGCTATCTCATAGCTTACAATCTCTTTCTCAGTATTTTTCAAATACTTAAGCAGTTCTCATAAATTCTCTGACAATGAATATTTTTCTTATTTAATAAGATATTGAAGCTTACTGTAATGTGTTTACTTATTTAATATTTTCTTTATAAGATATTCAGTATCACTCTTAATCTTGATATTATTCAGCTGAGATGACTTCATCTCAGAGTATTACTTATAGAGTTTCAAATAGAAAATATAAAAAATAGAATGAATTAATTTCAATTCTGTGAGTAATTTTAACTTATATATCTACTTACTTATCACTCTTGTTACTGAGAAAGATTCTAGTTACTGCTCACTGAGCTTCTTACACAGTCTTATTATCTTGATATTCTTTGCTGAAAGTAGCACTTGATTCTCTATTAAGAACTTCATCAGAAGATGTTTTTAATTATAGTATTTTATCTACTACTTCTAAGCATAGTAAATGCTTTTTATCATCTTCTTATGAATTTTGTTCAAAAGTTTCAATCTTGTTTTTACTTCTGATACTGAGAAATACTCTGTTCTCTGTATCTGTCTGACATTCTGACTATCTATTTCTCTCTTTAAAATGTTGTTCACAATGTCACTGAGTAATGAAGAATTATATTTATAATAAGTATAGAAAGAAGATATCTTTAAGATTGCATTCTTTGCATTATTATATATAAATTCAGCAGTCAGAAGATGTTTGAGTCAATCATTCTGATAATATAAATAGAACACTTAAAGATGCTGCTCTAGTGTCTGATTCTGATATTCAGTCTGATCATCAGTCTGCAGATGAAATGCAGTACTGAGAAAACATCTTATTATAAGATAATAGTAAAAAGCTGATCAGTATTTACTGATGAAGAGGAATTCTTGATCTATTATCAACAATTTCAGAGCAATGTGATCATGAATAATAATATCTAAAAACAGGTTAGTCAATTCAGAGGCTTTAATCTTTTTATAAGTAGAGATATATCTGATTATCTTCATAAAGCAGTTAACAATGATTAAAATTAAGTCATATTCTTTGACTCTTGTTAACTTCAGTAGATCAACTATGAAATTCATTGATAGATTCTATCATGAGTTCTTTGAAATAGACAGTGATATCAACTCACTGTATTACTTATACTGTAGAATCTTTATTCTTTGATAGATATTATAAGTTTTAATATACTCTTTGACATCTGTCTGAAGCTTGTCTTAAATATATTTATGTTTTAGAAGCTTCTCAGTCTTCTCTAATTCAAAGTGCCCTGTATAAGAATTATTATAATGAATTCTTAATAACTTCTAACACATCACTCTGCTATGAGAGATGAAGACTGAATCATTCAGCAGTAGAAGTTCATATTCTTCTAGTTATCAGTGACTTGATTTCTTAGCAGCATCACTCTGCTCAGAGTCTGTCTCTTTCAAGTTTAAATCAGATTCTTTCTTCTTCAACTTCTGAATTTAAGCTGCAGTAGAGGCATTTCTCTTCTATAACTTATTAATGAATTTCAAAAGTAGTCAGATTGAAAGATTGTAGACTGTTTCATTCTTTATCAATTCAATAGTTATAAGATGTGATATGAGAAGCTCATGATCTTCAGTGTCAGTTCTCTGCAGAGACTTAGATTTTCTTTCATCTTCTATACTGAGTTACACAGCTGTCTCTTCAGTGTCATTTCTGAGCTTCAGAGAATCTTAACTCTCTGCAGTCAGCTTCTTCTGCAGTAATGACAGAGATTGTTTTATAGAATTCTTCTCTGCATTAATGATATTATAATCAGACTGTCTAGACAGTACATCAGCAGGGTTAAGCTGACCTGAATAATATTAAATATAGAAATCATACTCTGAAAGCAGCTCTGCTCACCTGACTTGATATTTTACCAAGCTCTTTATTGTCAAGAAGTAATGCAGATTTACATGATTAGTGAGAACTTACACTGAGTATCTACTATTCTGAAGATAATGTTACTAGATCTTAAAGAATTTGATAATTGCTAACATCTTCTGATTATAAGTATCATATCTTCTCTGTATGAGTGATAACTTCTTGAAGAAGAAGATCACTGATATTCATTCATAGTATCTTATAGACTCTATGAAAAAGTCTTCTCTCACAGACAATTCATTATCTATTTTCTCAGAGATGATTATTCTCTGATTCTTTCAATATTGAAAGATCTTCAGTGTCAACTGTGAAAAGATTTCACAGACTTCATTTCTGAATATATCAGTCTCACACTGACTGAGTAAGTCAGAATTAAAGTGATTCAGTATCATAATATCTGTGAAAGCTTGTTTCAATTCTGCAAATGTCTGCACAGTGCCTTGAGTAAGAGTAAATGATCTCATTTTTCTGTCTTTCACACTTCTCTTTAACAGATCTGTAAGAGAGACAGTAGTGAATATACATAGATGAATTATCTGTAGAAATTTGCAAATTCTAGAAATATCTGTATCTTGCAGTATATCTGCAGTGTCGGCCAGTTCTCAATGATAAAGACTCAGCTTCTGTTCATTGAAATGCTATTCATCTTAATAATATAATCTAAGAAATCAATCTTCTGTATGTAGAATGAGCATTTTTCAGTGTTTGTATAGAGTTAATACTGTCTCAAGTGACTTAACACTTCTTGAACATGAGTATCATATTCTTTCTCTGATTTTGAGAAGATTAAAATGTCATTCAGATATACTATATAGAAGACATTAACAAGGCCTTTCAGTGCCTTATTTATATAGATCTGAAAGATGACTGAAGTATTACAAAGATCAAAAGACAAAACAAGATATTCAAAATTGCTGTACTTGATATGAAAAGCTGTTTTTCAAATGTCATCTTTGTTAACCCTGATTCTATGATAGATATTTCATATATCAATCTTTGAGAACATCTTTGCTTCAGATAATCAATCAATTATCTTATTAATTAACAGTAATAGATAGTAATTCTTAACTGTCACCTTGTTAAGGCCTCTGTAGTCTATGCATAGACATAGTCTATCATTCTTCTTGAGTACAAAGAGTATAGATGTCTCTGCTGAACTCTTTGATAAATGTATTCAGTTCTTTGATTGCACTTCTTCAAGATATTTGTGCAGAACATTCAATTTCTTTACAGACAAGTTGTAAAGAGGCCTGTACAGCACTGTTGCACTGTCTTCAAGACAAATCTTATATTATATCTTGATATCAGGAAACTTCACTGCTTCTCTTTTCAAAAAGATATTCTTAAAATCTGTAAAGAGATGTTGTATACATTCATCTTCAATGATGAATACTGCTGCTAATCTTGCAGTGAGAGTGATGACTTCTTCATCTGTTCTCAAGTTTCAATCATCTGCTACACAGTATATTGACTCAATCTTTTTCTCAAGATTCTTCTGATGAAACTCTTCAGATTTCTCTATTACTGTCTCTTCATCAGTGAGACAGTATTATCATATCTGAGTAACTCAGTCAATGAGAGAATTGTTTTCTCTCAATCACAGAAGACCTAGAATGACATTCTCATCTATGATATTGACTGTATGAAGAAGCAGACTGCTCTTCTTGAAGATTTCTTCTAAGTCTGTGATCACACACTTTGCTTGAATTATATTAAAACAGTGACATTTCATTTCATCTGTAAATTTTGCATGATCTGACAGATCTATCTTCTTTCAATTCTTCATCAAAGAAAAGAAATAGAATATGAAGTTAGCATCTGTCTCAGAGTTGAGTAGACATCTTACTGATATCTTCTCATTCAGAGTATACATTGTAATCATAATATGAACTCAGAGATATGAGAATTGTTAATTCTTTTCTTTCTCTTCTTTATCTTTCATGAATATGTTTGTC